ATTTAATATATTGCCATATTCGATTGAAAATTTTAAAGTTTGGGAATAATCCATGACAGGGAGTCTTGTTGGACTATCTAACACCGCGGGAGTGCTTGCTGGTGTCTTGGTACGGCTGCAACTGGATACATACTACAGAAAGGTTCATCATCTTAGTTTTCACATCTTTTTTTTTTTCCTTGCTAGCGGAGAAATTAGATATTGATTCTCAAGCCATATTGTTGCAGGTTCTTGGGATGACGTGTTTAAGGTGGCTGTTGCATTGTACATCATCGGAACATTAGTATGGAACTTCTTTTCAACCGGAGAGAAAATTCTTGACTAGAACTGCTGCAGAAAGGGTGGAGAGATGCAGCATTCATAACAGGGGAGATCAAATTGTAAAACCAGATATACGGGGATGAATGAAGGTTAGTTTGCGTGAACCTAAATGCGACTCTTGACGATTTTGTAAGTTGGCCCAAAAAACTTGCTTACATGTTATTATCTTCTGCTTTCATTCTAATTTACTTGTACTCAAATTAGATAGAGCACTCCCGGGTAATTTACACCCATTAAACATTTCCTCATCCCTAACAGTCCTTGAAGGTGCAAGCAATCTGTCAAAGACAACCTCATATGAACTTCAAAATCTCTAAAGTTGATGATATCGAATATCTGTACTGTTCTTAAATCTTATTATAATACTTTAAACCTCGTTATTGAGCTTATTCACATATTTTTGCTGCTAGTTTGTTGTCGCTTTTCTAACATGAATTAGGGGTGGTCATGGGCCATCTGTTTTAGTTTTGCAAGTCTTCTATTTTCCAGTTTTTGGAGCTTCGCTTCGATTAATCATTTCAAATATTCAAGTGCACTGTAAGTGATTTTTTCTTATATATATATATATATATTTTTGTTTTTGTGTAATATAACTATTATCATTGTACGACGTATCCAAGCTGCCAATTAGATGGAAATTTCATTAAAAAAAAAAAAGTACAAAAGGTGAGCTAAAAGTAAACAGAAACAAGAATTCAAAGAATAGATGGGATTATTTTGAGAGAGAGAGAGAGAGAGAGTACAAGATGTGCTGCTCTTAACTCCACCAAAGTTGAGACAGTTTTTTTTCAGCAGGGAACCTCCTTCTCAAACTCTCCATTTTGCATCCAACTTTATCCGTGTGTCACAATGAATGAAATGTACCTACATGAAGTGTGCCAAGACTGAAATTCCTACTCCGAGCTCTTCTCCAATTAAGAGACAATTGAAGGATCTTCCAACTATCTTTGAATGACCAAGATCTATCCATCTCCGCAGATTCAATTATTTTTAATTTTAAAAATTCAGTATGTGTTTCCAATAAAATAGAGTTTATTAGGGTTTAACTCCTCTCTAATTTTTTTTATAATTGGATGATCTTTAATTTTTTTTTAGAATAGTAAAGATTTATCCATGACAACAAATCTTTTATTCTCCACGTCAACAAATTTTTTCTAAATCAAAAATGCTTTCATTGTTTAAAAATTCAAACTGAATTGAATTGTTAAAATACGGACACATCCTCTATTTCAAAAAAAAAAAAAAAAAAAATCAAAGATCCTCCAATTGTTCTAAAATTAGAAAGGAGTCTAACCCGATTTGTTGATGCGAATAGATCTTCACCATTTAGAAAGAATTAAAAAATTCCCCAGTTACCTTGTAATTTGAGAGGAAACAAAGTCACAGCGGCCATGTGAGGATTGCCTGCCCCACCCCCTTCCATAACATAAAATCCAGCCGACGGGTGAACAAAACTCAATAATGGTGGGGGCCTATCCCACCAACTTAAAATTTAAACAGCTTTAAAGAACGCCACCAACCACATCAACTCCAACGCCACCGCTACTCTCATTAAGTGTATCACACCTACCGTTACATCTAACGGTGATCCGAGACTCTTCCCCATGCAACCCACCCTCTCTCTCCTCCATAATACTTGTCACAACCGCCATTAGATCCCTTGGATGCAAGTTAACCTTAAGCCCATACTTCATGAACAACGTCAATGACATCTTTTGCTCCACTTGGTGGCCCGGCACCACCTTGAGCCGGTACCGCAGCAAAACCGCCGCAGCTATCGACTTCATTTGTAGATAAGCCAGGTCTTTCCCAAACATATCCTCGGACCGGCATTGAACGCAACAAACTTGTAAGAATCATGCATCACAAATCGCTTCCGGTCAGGAGATAACCACCTCTCCGGCCAAAACTCCACACAATCCTCACCCCATGTAGACTTCATTCTACCCGCCGAGTATATAGAGTATGTAACCGATGACCCCGCCGGAACAAATGTGCCGTCCGGCAACATGTCGTCGGCCACAACATGCTTCGAGTCCTCCGGCACGGAAGGGTATAGTCGGAGAGTTTCCGTCAATGCAGCTTTCAGGTATATCAAACGGTCAACTTCTTCAAACTCCAAGGGCTCATCAACCATGATGATAAATTCTCGCCACGGGTCTCCATTAGAACGGTGCATATTTCATGCAATATTTTCTCTTCAACTATTGGGTTTTGGGTGACCAACCAGAAGAACCAACTAAGCGCGACTGATGACGTGTCACGTCCAGCTAAGATGAAGTTGAGTGCCACGTGTTGTAAAAATTTGTCCGAATATGATTCTTTCTTCTTCATGAACCTAGAGAGCAAATCATCATGTGGGTTGCCATCTTTTTGCCGACTCATCAACTCAAGCTTACGTGTGTTGATGACGCAAGACAAATACTCGTCCACGTGTACTAGGCTTCGGCTCAAGCTGACTTCCATACTGAGCCGAAGCCATTTCTTAAGCTTCCATATAACTTCTGGGAATATAAACCGCTGCAGTGTCGCTTCCGTGGCTCGGTCAAAAGCAGCCGAGAATCTGTTCTCTGGCAGCCCCGGCGTGAGCGTCTGTGGATCCTTCCCAAACGCCAAGCCGCATATGTTGTCAAAAGTCAGCCGGAGTAAGAGGTCTTGTAGATCGACTGGCTCAGCTTGGAGCTGAGCCGTTTTCAAAATGGGGCAGAATCTGAGCTTAATGGCGCGGTTCACCCACCGAGCCATGGCTTGGCGTAGCGTCCGGGTTGTAAACTCGAGAGCAGCCGTCTTCCTCTGGAACAGCCACGTGTCACCATCAGAGTTGAAGATCCCTTGGCCAAGTAGATCATGAAACACAGCTTGCCATGTTGGACCCTTGGGATAATTTTCGAACCGGATCTTCAAGATATGCTCCAGATTCTTCGGGTCACATGTGACAGTCACAAGACCTTGCTTCCGAGCCAAGAAGGGTATGGCACATATGCATGTCTGATACGTGCCACCACACGCGCGGAGATTATCGGTGATCCACTCGTGCATTCGATCAGCGTTCTCGATCAAGCCCGGTAAGCTACCCAATAATGGCCAGACTCGTGGACCCTTCAATGGCCGTGAGATGAAGGTGAACCATATCAGATAGGCAGTGACTGCAGTAAACAACAGTAAAGCCAAAGATATATCCATTGTTGGGAGATAACCTCTAGTTTCTAGGGAAAATGTTTTCCCGATAAATCACACCACTATATGTACGAAGAAAACTATATATAAGGTTGAAGACCACAAAAACTTGGTGAGAAAAGCAAGACCCAGACAGATATTGTATATTTTGAACCAAAAATAGGTGGGTTGTTGGTTTAACTTAAGCTTCAGTGGTTCAACTAAACACCACTGTACGGACAACTAATGCGGGGTTGGGAAATGTATTGTTCTGACTCAGAGAGAGAGAGAGAGAGAGGTGAAAGACAAAGGCAGAGAAGCACAGGAAGAAGAAGAGTGAGATGAACAAAGTAAAGCATCAAGGGGATTTATAGGTGAGGAGTTAATGAAACGCAATTACTAAGGCCAGACTGTTTCTTGAATTTCATCCTTCTCCCTCTCTTTCTCTCTCTAACTATCTCTTTCTCTCTCTAACTGTCAGATGCACTACCATAAATGTAGGTCGTTGAAGATTTAAGGTACAAAGGGTCATACACCTCAAACTGGAAACCACCCTAGCAAAACCTTACAATGGGTCATTTGAGCCAAAACCAGAAAACTCTCTCTCTCTCCCCAACTAATTTCTGCAGGGAAAAGAGCTGGGTATTTAAACTCAGGCATTCAATGAATAGACTTAAATGAGATTGGTTGAGGAACTATAGAAAATGTGCTTTAAAATTAATACTGGGTTTTTTACTATGTTAAACTTGTTGAACGATTTCTTAACTAATAAATGAAAGATGGGCTGCTCCTGTGGCTGGTCAGGGTTGGGCGACCTACCAATTTATAACTTTGGCATACGTTATGTCAGTCTCTCTATCTTTATCTTCTACCTCCAAACGCAATAAACATTACCTAAGTTTCACCACCAATGGGTTTGACTCGCTTCAATGCAGACTGCAGAGTACCAAAAGTCAACCACACTGCAACTGGTTTTATCCTAAAACAAAAGTCAACTACAGAGCCACAGATTCTGCTGTAAAACAACCTTAGCTGATGGAAATTCGAGCCATTTGGAACTTGTTCCATCAGATATGATCACAAAACTGAAAGGAGGAGGATTTTTTGGTAGCAATCATGACCACCCGCTGCTGTCAGCTGTTGGCTCGATCATAAGTTGAGAGCTTCAAGCCCGATTTCTAGCGGTGCATTCACCATCTGATGTGTGTTTCACTATCCAGTACCTTAAAAATTTAATCAAAAGGTTCAAGCTTTGAGTTGCATATTTTTCTCTCCTTATCATTCGACAATCATCAAATTAAGCTACTTTTATGAGCACCCGTAGTTGGACTAAACCATTATATGATCAAAAGAATAGTTGGCTAACATTATGATAAGCCAAAAACATTTTCCAGGCATGCACAGTTCAAGAAATGTAACATGAAAGTGCAGGTAGTGCTGCACGTTAAACAAATGCAATTAAGGCAGAAATTAGTATTGCTCGTTAAAGTAAGGTGGAAATTACCTTTAGACAAGCAGAGGGAAATAACTCGACCATGTTGGCAGAATCCATCCAGATTACTTCGTGGCGTTGTTTAATATCCGATTCACCCCCTAATGATTATTCTTGGGACTTAAAAAGGAGGGCAGGATAATCTAGCACCAAGCAACTGGTTAAACTGCCTGGATCATTCAGATTTTGTTTGCTCACTCTTTAGTCATATTGTAACAAAACCATACTAGGAGCCAAGATCTCCATGAAGGTCCTGCATTATCAGAATAATAATAATCAGATGCGTTTGAGCATAGTAAGTCACAAAATTTCAGAAGCAGCCAATAAAGTTGCAAATCCTTCAAACTGTCCTATTTTCCCAATTCACATTTGAAGAAACATATCATCATCCACCATTCTTGTGAAGCTTATCCCAAGTAATAGCTTTGCTCAGCAAATCTTTAAATCATCTTACATATCTATTGAAAATGAATCCTAATGATTCATTGGGTAGGATGGCGGAACAAACCAGGGACCAATTTCAATTATTCTAATAGGTCATGGGCTAACCCTACCATTGAAATAAATATTGAAAAAGTCAATATTCACCCGCGAAAATCTTCTTTTTATTTTTCGCTAATTGGTTAGCACAGAGGTGTGAAAATTTATATAGCCCAACAAACTGTGTGAGATCTTGTCACGCATAGGGTTTCATAAGAGACGAACACAAATTTCTAGTGACATGTTACTAAGTAGGGAGAAAAAACATTTAAAATTAATTTGACCATAGTTTTTGCCCTGGAATACATCTAGTATACCATGATTAACAACTATAAATTACTAACCAGCATAGCTCTGAATATTGCAGAACACGCTCTCTAAAACAGTGTAAGCAAACTTGCCCCTGGATAATAGGAAGACTAGCCAGCTGCAGAGGGACCATATAGCATTTGAGCCATCTTTCCCAAATGATTTCAGAACAGTCTATCACCAATGCAAAACAGCCAAAAATCGCAGTTGGGCAATAAAAGCCAGAATATGTCAAGAACTTATATTCATGGATGTTCTACACACTCTACCTTTTGCCGCCTCAGTCTTCTGAGCACCTAATATCACGTCCTGCATAATGCCAACTAATAGCCATATCAATAACAAACCAAATCAAAGTTAATGTCCTGGTGTTACAGAAGAAGTAGTTTGATACTCTGTTCATGTTAATCAGTAGGTACACAAAAATTGCACTACCTCTATGTGCTATATTTAGCAAATAATTTCCTTTTAGGCTTCTACCATCAGAGAAAATCCACTACAGATAGAGTAATGAGTTAAATTTAGTAAAATTTAACTTAAATGCCTTGGAAATTTTATTAGCCATATGAAATATTGCCAACAAAACTGCTGCACAAAGTTAGACATGGAAAGATATGATAATGGCATCATGCTCAATTTTATTATTTCAATCAAGATATTGCTAGGGAGATCTGCCTTCTAACCAACCAAATATCTTCTGCAAAGTAGAAATGCCGAAAAGGGTCAGAATTTTATGAATCCTACATGGTTAATCAAACATGTTGATATTAGAATAGGCGTAGGGAATCCATTAATTGCAGGTTGAGTATGAGAGTTTTCAACCAATGTATCCTGTTCATGGAGATTTTTAGTTTTTGGTTGTTTTACAGGACATGCCTGTTCACGGATAAGAAAATATCCTTGCAAGTCCTCAAAATGATTAGTCTACAAAGTACCACCAAGTTTAGTCGGTGGAAACTCAACAACACACCTGTTATCACATGGGTTAAGGAAGCAGAGTACAGAAGTAGAAAGCACATCCCAGAAAAAATACACAGGAATATGACAAGGGCAAACTGTAAACAACTCATATAAGAACCATATCAAATGCAAACAATAACACAGCAAGATCATTTTAAATGCACAATGCTAATGAGAGGACATAGTACAGAAGTTTCATTACTGCATCTTCTAAGCAATCTTGCTCCGAATTTCACCATAATTTTGGCAAATGGCTGCAATTGCAGAATTTTCATCAATAAAAAAATTCCAAACATTTAGCATTCAAAATCTCAATCACAATACAAACATGATTTTTCAAGCCCTGATCAATTAAATAAATAAGGGCAGGAACCCAGTTGGCAGCAAGTACAATGCTGACCATCCACCAAAAACAGAGAAGACAGGAATCAACACATCCTTGTTCTTTCCCAGCACCTTCCATGGTTCACCAAACTAACTGTTGATTGACTTTGAAGTGTAGGCAATATCATATTTCCCTTCTCGAAATTCCCTTTGGGAAATGTAAGAAAGCTCTCGCATGGCATATTATCTCCTATACAAGTACTTTGACAAAGGAAACTTCAGGCTCCTTGCTACCTATTGGACATTTCAAAACGGCCAGTGACCATCAGTTTATAAACAAGAAATCAAGAAAATAGATGAAAATTGATTTTATCACCACTGCAACAAATATTGTAGAACTTCAAATTGGAGATTTAGAATGTTACCTTCAAAGCCATATCTTCACTCACTGTGCATCGGTACCGAGTTGAGCCCTCCAATGGACAACTTCCTCCTTTGCTCATAAAATTAGCGCTGCAGAGACTGGATAGTTGCAAAAGAATGTCGGACATCAATCCACTATCTCCATTTTCACATCCTAAGCCATCAGTTCCCTGTTCTTCATCAAACGAACACTCTTCAACAGATGTGAGACACTGATATATGGCTAATAACCTTTCCAATGGGAAAGTTCCAGGTCCCTTCATTAGTAACTCTTGTTCTGCAGTTTCCTTCTGCTCCACCGATTTTACAGAGCTCCTGAGCAGGAAGCCATCAATAGTGAAATAAAATTATGTCGCAGTGGGGTATGAAATTCCATGTAGATGATACATTAATAATGCTGAAAGCAATATTAGAAACATGAAACAATATTTAACAAGTATCCTGGAAAATGCCTACAACGGTTTTAAGGGTAAAAGTAATCATCAAACAGAGCATTACATATAGTTGCATGCCCATATGTACAAAAAAGCAACTAAAGACAGTTGTAGCAAATATCATAAGCTCTTTAATGGCATTGTTAGGACTCATTTGGGGGATACTATTTCAGCCATAAAAAGAACATAAATCTTATACTGCATTCCTCGTTCAGCAATATGACATGAGTAGTAGCTTTATTAATTGGTTGAGGTAACACAAAAACAAAACCTGTTGCAGAGCATATGTTTATCTCAATTCCAAAATAAGAATACTGAAATAATCTCCAACCAGATTTCCTGGAGAAACTTTTCCCATAATTGTTGAAAATTTTGCATTCAATAAGAACAAGCACAAAAGGAGACTAGGGAGCAGATGCTGTTTTCTTGCAAATTAAACCTTCTTATAGCAAATTTTTCTGAAAAGCAATTCAAGCTAAAACAACTAGCACATTACTTATTCTTCCTTCAAAACAACAATAGCATTATACATGTTTGACATCAATTTGATAAAGCACTTACTTCCTCTTTCTTTTTCGATTATCAGAACCCCCAGTAGGATCAAACAGAGAGGCATCAAGAGTAGCAGGGTTTCTCGAAGCAAGGAATGCAGATATAAGAAGATACTTTGCAGAAGTGGACATATGAAACTCTACCTCATCAGAGGCTTCAGAAACTCCTGCTTTCCTTGCATTGCCCTTTCCCTTGGCTTTGTCCTTGTTATGTCCAGCTTCAACCCTAAAAATCTCATTCAGGGAAGGCGCAATATGTGGCTGAAGATGACTAAACAACATTCTTTTTATTTTTTCATTAGGAAAAATGCCCAAGTCACTCAATGGTTCACAATATTTTTTATATAATGCTGGAAAGGCAGTAGATAATTCATCAACACGTCTTGTAATTCGAGAGAAAGGCCTCAGTAGCACACTGTTTCAACAAGAAACCCAAATTAATATATTCATCAATTGAACCTTATGAAAAAAGAATTTGATGGCAACAGCGATAGTAGTAAGTCGTTATCCATACTCGAGAAATGAGGAATAAAGTTTTGGGTTGCATTGATTTCTCATCAAGATTTGGCGAAGATCATCTTCTGTGTATTCAGGAAAATAAAGAGGGACAGGCTCTGTATACCCTGTGTTGAAGTAATATGTGTCCGGCGAGGTGTTACTTATAAAAATGAGACCCACCTCAGGCATCTTCATAATATCATAGAGCATAAACAGAAAAGGCAATATATTAGAACTCTTTTCCCAGTCCCGAACAAGCTCCAAATTATCGAATATCAAATAGATAATCTGCCCTTTCGCTTGTCCCACTAGCTTCTTTGAGTTAGATTTTCCCATATTCCCCTTCAGACTATTAATTATATTTCCCAATGCTTCCCTTAATAAATTAACAAATTCAGAAGGCCTTTCACAGCGCTTTGCACTTGAATAACCATTGCCTTCATGTTTCCTATGAAGCAAGAGTTGGTTCAAGATAGACTCGAATAATATTCGAGGACTGTAACAGGTAAGACAACTCGAATACACAAATGGTCGATTCAGGTGTCTGAAAATCTGAAGAACTGTGCTTGTTTTCCCTCTGCATGCCCCTCCATAAATAAATAAAGGAATCACTGGAGAATTCAAGGGACCCAAGAGCTGCAGTAATTCAAGGATTTGAATTCGCCTACCAGGAAAACTACAAATCAAATCATCAAAGCTTATGGGTTCATCTCCATATATGAGGTCATTGTGTGTTAGAGGTTGGGAATTGCAATTATGAAGTACTGTTTCAGCTGCACTGTTCAAATTGGGGTTGGAAGAGGATGCTCTTGTGGTTCTTCTGGTAATTTGTGGACTTTCTTCTTCACCCATTTCTTTGAAGGTACACAAATTGCAAAATGCCTGGTCAATTAAGAGAAAAACAATTAAGAGAAAAACAACTTAGAAACAAAGCTTGAAACATGCCAGATTAAGCAAATTTGCACTATTATGATAAAATGTACCATAGTCAAAAGAACAAAAATTTAAAAGACCAGTTTAAATATCTATATACTAGTAATTGCCCGTGACTGAAGGCATGAAGTAACAAAGAATTATTGTTGTCAATTTAAGACATACCAAATAAAAGATAACTATAGACATTGAGAAATGTATCTAGAGACACTTTTTCTTATACCTATCAACATACTTGCATCTAAAACTTCAAAATTAAGCATAAATTTCTATAAATTCATCTATTAGTCAATTTCCTATTCTCAATCAATCATCAAACACTAAAACCAAACTATGTAGTTTCATATTTTGCACAAAACAACTTGTAAAAAAGGTTACACAAAAAAATAACTCGTTACACAATGTTGATGTGAGCTATTTGTTATCAAGTTAATCAATCTCAACTTTGTAAATTTCTTTGATGATTGTTTCATTGATATCACAGACAAAGAAATTCTAACTATTTCCATTATTCCACACATAAAACGAAAATTGAATAGATAATTCGTGCAAACACTCATGGACATACATAAACTCAAATCCTCAAATTAATAGGAATTAAAAGAAAACAAATGTGAATATAGTTGTCTTTCGACCCATAAACAAAAAATCGAAAAAACAAAGACTCAATCCCATACAGTACCTACGCCACCTTGAATAAGTGCACAATTGAACTGTTGTAGCTCAGAGCTTTAAACTTATCAAGGCTTCAATGGATTTTTTGATTGGTCAACCCTGCAAAGAACATTCAAGAACAATTAAAACAGATTTGCACATGAGAGAGTGAGGGAAAATAGATTTCGGGTTGGGGAAGATGCTAACACGGTCAACCGCCGAGTCGAATCACCAAATGGTCGGCTAAGGACTGGGCTGAAATTCTTTTTCTTCTCTTTAACATTTTCTCGATAATCTAGAAATCACCTCATGAAATACAGCAAGAACATAATACATACACAAACAAACATACACACTCTGATCAAACTGAACAGGTCAAATCAAGCAAAACAGAGAATCAAAAGTTCAGAACAAACCAATTCAAGAACTATTAAACAAACTAATATTGAGCATCTTTATCAGCACCAGCAAAGATATTCACAAAATTGAAAAGAGAACAAACCAATCCAAGAGGTGTTATTTTAAAAAATTAATAGAGATTAGGCTTGATGTACAAACAACTAAAAAACATACCGAAGGCATAGAACGATATGTTCTTTTATTATTGTTGGAGTATAGATAGTCTAGGTTTATTAGGATTTCTTTTCCCTTTTTTACCTTTACTATGATTTTTATATTTTGCCTAAACTACAAGGATGTTTAAGTCACTCTGTATTATTTTTGGATATATATACGGGGTTCTACTCTTAATTTGAGTATCCCTTTTCATTCACAACTATCTCAAGTTGGTATCAGAGCCACTAACCCTAACCCTAACCTCCGCCAATCGTCATAACCAAACAGACCCAGCCGCTGCTCCTCCTTCACATTGCAACAGTAACCAGCCATCAACCACCACACTGTCCAGTAGCACCGACAGCCAGCAAGCATCCCACTCCGTCCACCCAGCAACCATACCAAACAGCCACCACTCAAACAATCATCGACTGCCCAAACCCAAACCAGCGAAGTCGTCTCAATCACCGAACACCGAACAGCCAGACATCAACTCCTCACCAGACCCAATACAATACCCAATACACTACCTGCATCAATATACCACACTGAAACAACAATATACCTGCGGTCGTAGTCTGCGCCTCTGCCTCATCCCGTCCTCTGTGCCTCTGCCTCTTCGTCTTCGTTTTGGCGACGGTGGACGTTCATATCACAGCCATCTCCAACTTAAGTCTCTCTCTCTGAGTCTTGATCGAAGTGGAAGAAAAATCAATATACCCAATACCCTGCCGAAACAAACCACATCGACATATTAAACCAATACCCAGCCCACTGCCCGATACTCAGACCAAACCCATACATATTAAATCCAAACCCAGCCCACTGCCCATCCTCAAACCAACTGATTGCTTTTATTTCATCTACCAGGGAACATATACAAAGTAAATAGCTAGCATCGACCAGCAGCCCAAACAACTCAAACCAGAACCCAGTATTGCCTCAGCCCATTAAACATATACTAAACCCAACCCACTGTTATATCTAGGATTTTTTATATTTTTTTTATGAGGGGTTGTTGATTTGCTCTTGATGCAGTAGATCACTTATTTATATATTTTGGATTTCTGGGCACCGTGACTTGATTATTTGGGAGTTTTTTGGACCTTCCCTATTTGTCGCTACTGTTCGCCTGAAGGTATATTGTTCTCCCTTATTTTATTCCTCTATTTATCTTAGAGTTTTTTTCTGTCACGAGTGCCCTAGTATTGTTGTTGATATGACTACTACTGAGGGACTTGAGAATCCTACTGTTGACACCTCTACCGTTGAGACATCTATGGGTACTTCCACTTTTATGTTTGACCAGTATACAGTGTCTACTAGCACAGTTGCATTACCAGCATTACCGGGCATGATCTCTCAAAAAGTTACGGCACAATTGTTGAATGGTCGTAACTTCGCTGAGTGGTCACGCTCATTCCAACTTTTCTTAGGCCGTGTAGGGAAGCTTGGTTGGCTGACGGGATCTCACCCAAAGCCAGTTGATGCCGACCCTGGATATTCTGCATGGTTCTCTGAAAACTGTGCCATTCTTGGATGGTTATTTGGCTCAATGGAGCCCTCTGTTTGCAGGATCCACCAGTTTCATAGCTCTATTCCGAAGCTATGAAGCGCATTATCAGAGATGTATTCTCAGTCAAGACGGGGAGTTCGTGTTTATGAGCTTTCTCAGGAGCTCTCATATGCTCGGCAGGGAGATATGACCGTTCAGGATTATTATGGCTATTTGACCCAGCGCTGGCTTGAGTATGAGTCTCTACGTCCTCTTGCTGCTATTCCGAAGATAGAGCCCGAGGGAGCAGCATTCTTGCATACTCGAGAGCAGGAGGATAGGATTCACAAGTTCCTTATGGGGCTTCGTGATGAGTTTGAGGGACCTCGTTCTCAGATCTTGTCGATGTTGACACTTCCTTCTCTTTATGAGGTGTATGGGATGATTGAGCAGCATGAGCGTCGAGTCCGTATTGCATCACTTCCAGTTGCAGCTTTGCCTCCTTCGACTGACCAGATGGCCCTTGCAGCTGCTGTAGGGTCCCGTTCAGGATCATTAGTCAGGGATAGGCAACGCTCAGACTAGCGCCGTCAGGGCGCCCCAGATCAGCGCAGACGGGGGGATTCCCGTCAATGTGATTATTGTGGCCGACCAGGACATCTCAGGGCTACTTGCTGGAAGCTCCATCCAGAGCTTAAGCTACCTTCTCGCAGCCGTACTGTTGCTATTGCTGAGGTACCACCGCCCACTACCGCCACTCCTGCTACTGCTCCTCCTTGGCAAAGTGATATGGATGCTATCACTTCCCGATTAGATATACTTATGTCTGCTCTGACTTCTCAGAGTCTGACTACTGCTGCTGTCACCACTACAGGTATATCTCGTGCCTTTCACGCTTGTGCCAGTTCATCTCCCCTTTGGATGTTGGACTCGGGTGCAAATGGTCACATGACAGGTGAGGCCCATCACTTCACCACTTTTGACGAGCCATTACATACATAGGTTCAGTTAGCAGATGGAACACATGCCCCTATTGTTAGTAGGGGTACAATCCGTCTCCTAGATGGCCTTACATTACATTCGGTTTTTCATGCGCCAAAGTTGGCCATGAATCTATTATCTGTACATCAGTTAGCCAGAGATTTTCACTGTGCGGTTGTATTCTTATCTGATTCGTGTTATTTGCAGGACCTGAGTACCAGGAGGATTATTATCAAGGGACATGAGAAAGATGGACTGTATTATCTTGGCAATCCATCTCCAGTTTCACCAATTCCTTCACCTGCACATGCTTTGTCTTTTTCTGTTCCTAGCTTGCATGCTAGTATTTTACCTAGTAGTTGTCGTTATGATTTTTCGTCACAAACTGTTCAATTGTGGCATGACCATTTTGGACATACAAATTTTAAATATTTATGTATGTTGTTTCCTGCTTTGAGTAATGCTTGTGTTGGTGGTAAACTTGATTGCGTTATCTGTTCCCTATCAAAACATGTTAGGGCCAATTATATTCCTCGCATGCACCAGTCACCCAAGCCATTTGACCTAATACACTCTGATATTTGGGGACCCTCTCCCGTTACTGCTCTGTCAGGTGCCAGATATTATGTGACATTTATAGATGATCATACCCGTTGTACTTGGGTCTACCTTTTGCATAGGAAGTTGATGTGCTCCCTATAATCACTCAGTTTTTACAGATGATTAAGACACAATTCGATGTCATTGTTCGTGCTCTTCGTTCGGATAATGCCAAAGAATATGTGTCTGATGCTTTAGTGTCTCACCTTTCTTCTCAGGGTATCCTTCAGCAACTCACTTGTCCATATACTCCTGAGCAAAATGGTGTTGCTGAGAGAAAAAATAGGAGTTTGATAGGGATGGTACGTTGTCTGCTTAGAGGCATGAGGGTACCAAAATCTTATTGGCATTTTGCTGTTTTGACTTCTACCTTTCTGTGCAATCGTACGCCGAGTCGTGTTCTTCAGCATAAGGCTCCCTTACAGGTCTTATTTCCTGAGCGGACACTTTTTCCGGTCCCCCCTCGTGTTTTTGGATGCACATGTTTTGTTCAGGATCGGTCTCCTACTCGTCATAAACTTGATGATAAAGCGATTCGTTGTATCTTTGTGGGCTATTGTCATCAATCTAAGGGGTATCGATGTTATGATCCTATTAGGCGTCGTATGTATCACAGTCTAGATGTTACCTTTCT